TAATAATAATAATAATAATAATAATAAAGGAAATTGTTCCTCTACTCTTGAAAACATAAAAAGGCACAGATTGAAAGGTGAATGCCTTTCCAAAATGAGGAAGTCACTGTCAAACAATACGAGGCAATATTAACATTAATAAAATCTATTAAAGGATTGTGGAGGAGTAATGAGTTATATAGAGGACAATGTCCTGAGGGATTAAAATGTATAAAATAATAACTTCTGAGACTGTACTAGATAAACCAGCTAGTTTGCACAAAGTTAGTGTAAGGGAGGAAAAAGGAAAAAGTCCTGGGCAAAGCTTCTGGGCAATACTATGAAATTTTTATTTTCTTTAAAGCATTGACACTTTTGTGTGTGTATGTGTGTGGGGGAGGGGAGTGGTGGATGGCATGGCTATGGCTTGGTTCCTTTTTTTTGCAGTTACGTGTGTAATTCCCAGAGGAGCACGACATCGAGTCTTAACTGCAGGCTGGTCAGGTCACAGCATTGTGTTCCAGCCTTGAGGCTTTTTTATACTACACAGAAATCAGTGGGCGCTGTGTGTGTGTGTGGTTGTATGTGTGGGATTTTAGACTGCTAATAATTTTTATTTGGTGATGAACTGTGATCTTCCTGTCTCTCCCCTCCACCCCACCCCAGACTGAGTTAGTCTTTTGGCACCAGAACTAGCTACAAATCCCCAGGAAGATTCCTGAGGGGTGTCTGTACTCCAGCCATACTCCCTTTTAGCCATTTGAATACATGTGGTGTTGGGTACAGGGCACAATAGTAACCTTACTCAGGCATACGAGTCAGTAGCAGCTTTCCAAGCCTCCCCATAGAAGGCAGTTGATATGAAATGCTTGCTGACTTTGCAGCATACACTACACTTGCTCCATTTTTGAGATGTGCTATTTAGACTACGGTGTCTTTATGCAATTTGCAGTCTTAAGGTTGGTCCTACAAATTCAGGAGCCTTAAGCATCCTGGTTCCTTCAGCATTATGCAGACTTTCCCATACACCAAATATTCAGCATCTTATCTTTTTCATTTGTTTGCTTTTGTGTGTGATTTCCTTTAAAACTTGAGTCCAGAGTTGACACTTGTTGAAGCTAAACAGTAGAAATTCTTACATAGTTTATGAAAAGCATTCAGCTGTTCTGCTCGTTAAAAAAAACATAAATTATTTTTTTCCCCCTACATTTAAGTAAATTAATTTGATTTGTGTCTGTTACTATGTCCAACTCACTCACATTCTCTTTTTTTTTTTTCTTTAGGGGTATAATTAACCCATTCCCTGCTTCAAAATGCATCAAATCATCTCCGCTTCAGTGTATCTATACAGCTGAAGGACATACCAAGGCTGTGCTTTGCATTGATGCAACTGATGACCTTCTCTTCACTGGATCTAAAGGTTAGACAAGCTTTGTGCATCTGTACTGCTTGCAGAGGCTGCTTTGGAATGTTGTGAAATTCTCAGTTTGTGTGTAGTGCTGTAAACACAATGGAAAATTGTGAGGATCCTTAATTCCCATGGGTAGTATTTGGCTGTTTATTTGGAGTGTAAAAAGTAACTCTCAAGAATAGCATTAACAGTTGTTGAGTGATATGATGGAACCAATAATGGTAACATATATGCACATGTGATGTGCATGCAATGCAATAGCCCCAGGGTAGGGGTAGAGGTGGAAATTAGCACGTCTTTGGCTGTGCTATCTACAGGGTTTGAATCAATTATTCCCACCATAGTTAACTCTTTGAGCAGAGTTAGGGCCATTTTCTGCTCCTCCTGTGCTCCTCATCCTGTCCCTTGTGGGTGGAAGAGTTGTGTGGCTGTTGTAGGATGGACTGGATCTGGTAGTCACTAAATTCCCTACTAGATGGTGCAGCCAGTCTATGAACTCTTTATGCTGGTAGAAACTGTTTGGGGAGAAAGGTACAGTTTCTGTGGCTATTCTACTACGTAACTGTTAAAAATACCAAGACACGTTCTTACAGTGAATTGGCAAACTTTTGGTGTATTAAGCTTTATGTGAACATTTTGGCTTTTGTGCACGTGGACACAAATGCAAAAGAGGACGTATTTTTAGCTTATGTAAATGCTGCTTTGTTTATTTGTATTGATATTTTCAATTTAGTGGCTATATGGAGGGGAAGGAGGTGCTTAATTTTTTTTATTTTGCATCTAGATGTGTGTTCTAAAGGGTTTGTTTGTTTGTTTTTAACATGGAGTGCTTGCAGGTGTTGTAAATATTTGCTCTTTTTTGTCATATGCTAGCTTCCCATACTTATGGAAGAATTTTTGCTGTATATGTTTTTGGAGGGGAAAACTTTGCAAAGTTGTACTTATATTTGTACTCAAGAGTACAAGAATGTAGACAGCAGTTTAATTAAAGTTAAATCTTTTGGAAATTGTCACTGAAAGAGAAAGCCTCAGCTCGCTGACAGCCATAACACTAGCAGACAGTGCCAGTTCAGGAACGCCAGTAAGCCTCCAGGTGCATTGCGGATGTTGCGCTCTGGTCTTGATAGTGGAGGTTTTCTAAAGCAGCTGACGAGTTCTTGGTATAGTTACCCTCTTCGTGCTCTTACAAACACTGCCTACACATTAAGTTTTCCTTTCATCCTCCCAGTACATATTCCAGTAAAAATGTACTTCTGAAACATATGGAGTGACCCAGACATGGTCCAGCAAGGAGAGTTTCCTGTGTGGACTCCATTTGTGTTGTAAAAGTCTTGAAAACTGGGTCTTTACACAAAAGGTTGCAGTATTTAAATTCCTTTTCTACTGAATGAAAACTGTGACAAAAGCACTTGCTCTGGGATTTTCAGAGGCTCCAAAGCACCAAACAGTTTCAATCACTTCTCACCTTAGTAATTTTGTTGTGATAGTCAGTCCTCTGTCGTGCTGAGGCTCAAAGCCCTTCATGTACTATGTTCCCAATGAAGAATTCTTGAATTAAAAATTGAGTAGTTCTCTTGATCTGTCATCATCTAAACTCTACAGCCTCCAAACTGTCTGTCTGACAGTTTTGGGACGACATGGGATTTTATCCTTTTAAAAAGCTATGGGAGCTAATATGCACATCTTCAAAAATGACATTTAATTATTAACCTTCTTTAGTTTTGATGATGGTAGATGATGCCCATGTGTACTCTACAAAAAGAGATTAATTAAATGGGTCTTTAAAAGTGCCTACCAAAATGGAGGGTTATATATGAGTGCAAATGAATGTATAGACACTTTTTTTTAAAATAACTGAGTTTCGGAATAACATGTTTTCTGTGGTGTTTCGTTGGTTGGTTGGTTGTTTTAATTTTTTGCTCATGCTTTTTTTCCCTTTTTTTGCTTGTCTTTAGATCGTACCTGTAAAGTCTGGAACCTGGTAACTGGACAAGAGATTATGTCTCTGGGGGGTCATCCAAATAACGTTGTTTCTATAAAATATTGCAACTACACTAGCCTGGTCTTCACAGTCTCCACGTCCTACATCAAGGTGTGGGACATCAGAGATTCTGCTAAGTGTATTCGGACGTTGACGTAAGTATGCTAAACCTTAAATTCTAAGAGTTTAAATGAATCTTAATTTTAGATAAAAAAATACTAGAATTAATTCAATTCAGTACGTTGTTTGGGGGTGAAGGCTTTCTTTATGTGTTCAGGCTAAGTCAGTGTTGGGCATTGGTAATATATTGAAGCACAAAACAACTTGCCTGTAGAGTTGTTTTTTTTTTCAAATGTTCAGTATTCATAATTGGCTCATTATGAACACATAATAAGGGAATTTGTCTTTCGTTTTATTTTTTTTTTTCTTCCTTCCTGTACTCAGGTCTTCAGGCCAGGCAATGCCTGGTGATGTGTGTTCAGGAAGTACTAACAGAACAGTCACTATCCCAGCTGGAGAGAACCAGATCAATCAAATTGCACTAAATCCAACTGGCACATTCCTCTATGCAGCTGCTGGAAACTCAGTGAGGATGTGGGACTTGAAAAGGTACTTGAACACCAACAGAAGAGAATGTTCTTTAGGTTGTTGTATGTGCATATAAAACAAAGTCAATAAAGTGTTTCCTGTTTATGGTAATATCCATAACCCGGGTAAAATATGGTCAAGATACAGATCAACTCATCCATGCCATGGTGGTTACTGTGATATTGGAGGTGCTCATGACCTCCTCATGTGTTAAGGTTATGGTGAATTATTTCAGTAAAAATGATTGGAAGAATAATAAATAGTTTCAGTTGGAAAGGACCTTTAAAGGTCATCTAGTCCACGTTCCCCCTGCAATGAGCAGGGACATCTTCAACTAGATTGGGTTGCTCAAAGCCCCATCCAACCTGACCTTGAATGTTTCCAGAGATGAGGTATCTGCCACCTCTCTGAGCAACCCATTGCAGTGTTTCACCACCCTCACTGAAAAAATGTCTTCCTTATATCTAGTCTGAATCTACCCTCTTTTAGTTTAAAACCATCACCCCCTGTCCTATTACAACAAGCCCTACTAAAAAGCCTGTCCCCATCTTATAAGCCCCTTTTAAGTATTGACAGGACAAACACAGGAAAGGAAAAAGGACAAAACACATTGAAAGGAAAACCACAAGGTTTTGTTTAAGACAGGCACTATAAAACAGGCTCTTGTAAGATGACAGATACATGAATCCTGACTAGTAATTGTTGATGAGATTATGAAAGCCAACTGATCTAATATAGTATGGGACTATGATGGCCACACTATAACAGCACTTGTCCAAACAGTTGCACCCAAAGAGTGTGTTCAAGGTACAGAGAATACTTTGAGGGGTCTGATTTGTCTTTACTTTAAAATTTTCTTTAAATGCTTCTTATTTTACATAAATAGAAGCTTTTGTTAATATTTAACTTAGATTTAACATTTACACATAGATATGAGAAATAGAGTATACATAACCAGGAGATGAATTGTGAAGACTTGGGGGAAAATAAAAATATATATTCTGGCACAAACTGTGCTATGGTTTGTACTGGATATATGAAAAAATAACAAATCCTCATGTCTTCTCTTTTTATTCTTGAAGATTTCAGTCTACAGGAAAGCTAACTGGTCACCAGGGTCCTGTTATGTGCCTTACTATAGATCGAATTTCCAATGGACAAGATCTCATTGTCACTGGTTCAAAGGATCATTATATAAAGGTACACCATTAGTATTTGTTTATTTATTTTAACTCTTCAGCAGAAGTGACTCACATCTCCATATCTGACACATGATACCCAAGATATAAATTCTTTCATCAGTTATAGATTATGGGTAATGTTCAGTCTTAATAACACTTCTGACTTCAGTGCTATTTTTATTTGGATGGTTGTCTTTGAAGAAGAGTTAAACTTTTGGTTAAACTTTTTCTTAATCCCCAGTAAGGTGGAGATCAGGCGTATAAAGTCTTGGAGAAATATTCATGACACCTCCCTTTAAGTAACTCTTAGCTCTTGAAAGTATCTTAAGTCAGTGCCTCTGTTTTGGAGTGCAGACCTAATTGCCTCAGCAGAGACTGTGTGCTCCCCACAGAAGAGAATCTGGGGTCCAGCCCAGGCTCTTGCTTAGTTGTTACCCAAGTTCTGGAGTTGGGAAGGAGAGAGAGAGGTCAATACACTTCAGCCAAGGTGCCCAGTCTGCTTGGTGTATTCATTAGCATGCTTCCTTCGAGTTGTGTTCAAAGCATAGCCAGTGGTGTCACGATACTTTCCTGCTTCTTGACATCATGATTAACTCACTCAAGGATAGGGGATGTGGTTTTGGGGGAATGAGGGCTTCTGTGTTTCTGGGTTGTTGTTTTTTTTCTTGTCCTTTCTTTGGCCCACCTCAGCCTGGTTATTTGAACCCTCAAGCTCCTGTTTCTCAGGAGTGTGCCCAAACCACCAGACTATGGGGACTATACCTCATCTTCCCCAGACAGCTGACCCTCACACTGCAGAGAACGTGTGATTCATGAGGCCAAAGAGAGAATGAGCAAGATTCTCTACCTTGTTGTGAGGGGATACTCTTCACTCTGGTGCCTATACTTCTTGCACACTGGAAGAAGTGTATAAACACATCTGTGAGTGGAGCAGGAGCCAAAACCTAAGTGAGCTTTCTCACTGAGCTGGGCTTTCTCTTTTTGAGGTTATCCTGCAATTCTTGGACACTTGGCTGTGCACCAGGCGAGCCTCAGAAGACTGCCTGGGATAGGGGTGCATAGCTTGATGGTTTGGGCTGTGGATCTGAATCTTATCAGCAGTCCCTATGGTTAGAGGCCAGAGGATTCTTAGGCAATAGGGTGACAGAGAGAGGCACTAACAATTAGTTCTCTGCACAGTTGAGACCATTGGTTAAGAGCTACCATCCTGACACAGTAATGACCTCAGTGGGGACAACAGGATGTGATCACATAATGCAAGTTTGTCATGCTACAAGCTCACGTGATGAGGAAGGAGGTGGAAGGGCCCTTCGAAAACACAGCTGTCAACAGTCGGAGAAGTTTGTCTGCTACTCTTGTGTGCTCCTTTGTTGTGAGGAAGCTACATAAATGCTTATGAGGCTGCCTCCATCTTGACTTACACCACTAGAATATCCAAGGATATTTTGGGCATGTGTACGTGCTGCAAAGTAGTGGGTGTTCTGTATGCCTCCATAATCATCAAGCTGCTTTGGACAGTACAAATGATCAGCATGTGCATGGTCAGTGTGGCAGTTTGGGAATTCTGAGTGCTTCTTCACATGGTAGGTCCACTGTGGGTAGTAGCTCTGGTCACAGATGCTGCTTTCCCCTGCCACAGGAAACTACTGTCTTGTTTACTGAGCCAGAAATACTAGTCACTTCTGTCTCAGTGCCTAATTTTTCTGGTGTATCATTTAACTCTTTTGTTACAACTGGAACTGATGCATGTTAATTTAATGCAGTAACTTTTAAAATACCTTTAACTCACTTGAGGTATTCTTTTATGCTACCAAGCTGTCCTTTTTTTTCCACTGCCAAGCTTATTCATTTTAAAAGGTCAATGAAGAGCAAATAATAGGGGATGAAGCCTGACATTTGCGTGTGAAACAGAGGTAGTGGTTTAAAAAGTTATGGCTCATCTGTTCTTCCTCAGCTCAGTCTGACTGGGTGAGTTCTGGCTTTCTATAGTGCAAAATGACACAGGGTTGCTTACACTGCTTCTCTAGAGACAAAGAGCTGATGGGGTTGATTATGCTTTGAGTTGTTAAAATAGCCTCACTTAAAGCATCTGTTTTAAGACCACATTCTGGGAGCACAGGCAAGGACAGAGGTGTGCCTATTCCATGGAAAGCATCAGCATGTAGTGGTACATAACCCATGCCAAAACACCTTGTCCAGAAAAATACATGAATGCCTCTTCTGGGCAGCTGCCTATACAATTCTCCCAGTGTCAGTCATCTTTCCCATGCTCACTCTCATGCTTTGTTTCTCTGGTCCAACACACAGTGTGTATATATAGGCTATTCCTTGTGAAGATACTGTGTATTTCATAACCATGTAGTAGCACTTCTTCCAGAGCAGTCTTCTCTGAAATCGGTGAAATATTCCTGCATCAGGCAAGAGGTAGAAGAGGAGAAAGGAGTAGTTTTGATAGGTACATTCTGCCAAATATACATCATGATACAGTGACCTGTAATGAGACTTTCCAAGTTTTTCTGTGAAAGTTATTCACTACCTGTCTTCCAAGCTGGTTAGATGGCAGATAATTTTGCTTGACGTATTTGATCATTTATTTATCTGTTTTAGATGTTCGACGTGACTGAAGGAGCTCTTGGAAGTGTAAGTCCTACACACAATTTTGAACCTCCTCATTATGATGGCATTGAAGCACTTGCTATTATGGGAGACAACCTCTTTAGTGGATCCAGAGACAATGGAATTAAGAAATGGGATTTAACTCAAAAAGACCTTCTTCAGGTAATGTTAAAAATCATGTGGCTAATGTGATGTTGTCATGCTGTAGAATTGTGTTCAGACTGTGTAAGTGTTCAGGCTCATAGAATGACTATTCACTTAGACACTGATGTTCTTAATAGGGAAGGCCCTAAGAAATAAATGTATAATGTTTAATGTTAATGTTTGTAATGAACTTTATACTAGGAATGCAGTTGTTTTTCTTTCCATTTATGTGGCATCAGGATGAAGCGTTTAGCCCTTTATTTTAGCTATGAGTAGGTGGGTTTTGGCTTTTTTGCTTTGAAATTAAGCCAGCACTTGCATCCTCTATGATTGGAACAGTTGGATATCAATTTTGGACTGGGAACTCATTAATGACAAACAGTGCTTTGGATCATTAGATCAAACTACAGAGTATTTTCTTGTGAAGAGGCTTTACAACCTACCTCACTCCACCCAGTCTTTTTTCTAATAAACTTACTCCTAGATCTCAATTCATCGTTATACAACGTATAAGTTATGTTATTTATACAACACTCGCATGACAATCTGTTTGCTGTTAGAACATATTTGCTCCAAATACAATTATCTGTGTTGAGCCTGTGTGAGAAATGGAAGGCAGAAAAACAAGGCCAGAAGATGCTGCTGGTTTTGCAAAGATAATAATTTTTCAAGGGAGGAGGAGAATGTCTTTTATGTGCATTTAACGTGCAAACTGGTAGCAAGGAAACAAATAAAATATTGAAGTTTTGGGATATGAAAGAATAATGGATTGGTCACCTTAAGGTTGCACAGCTGCTCTGGGTGACCCATTGCAATCCTTAAACTACTCTTGTATGAATTTCCTCCCCTCTTCCATATCCAGTCAGAATTTCCATTGTTGCAACTTTCTTTTGGTGTGTATGCTTGACAGTTTTAAATGGGAGGGGGAGGGGGGAAGCAAACCCTAAACACCCTGAAAACAGAGCTGAGCTGCTTTAAAGTATAAATGTTAACATTTCAGCAGAGGTCCTGGTTTGGCATGCACATGTTAAACAAGGTTGGTTCTCTATAGCTGATGAAAAACACTAAACAAACATGCTATTCAAAAGAATTCAGACATCATCGACTTCACTTGGTGCTATACACCCCAAGCTACTTCTGTGACAAAATGAAGATTTTTACTTTTTTTCACCTGTCCAATTTCATGAAGCGCTGCAGACCAGACCACCAGTGTTGTGACAGCAGTGTCTATCATAGATTAAAACACCAAGATGATCCTAGAAAGCTGAATGCCCTCCATAATATGAGAGAGGCAGCAAACCAAAGCAGTTCCTACCAAACTGGAGAAGAGCCACTCTTGGTCCTCTTAAGAGACAGCAAACTTGGGCTGTTTTTCCTCCATGCTGGATGTTGTTCTCAGCTGATCTGTGCAGCAGTTTGCTTTCTGTATTAGCAGTAAAATGAGTTCTTCCTCAATAAAGAATTAATGTATTCTTGTTAAGTGCTACGTCACAAAATCAAATTATAATGTATAATGAGAAAAGAAGGAAGGACTAAGGCAAATAAAGAAACAGTTTATGTCTCCCTGGTGTATTTTTTGAGTAGTATTTTGGTTTTTATCTTTGTCTTCTGTAACTGTTTTATGGACAGACTTGAAACATATACAGAGACCGTATGTTCTAATATATATTTGAACATATGCAGATTTAGCATTATCCTAGATTAATTTTTGTTCCGTGTCAGGTCAGTTGTGCATATTGGACTTTGTTCTTGTTTTGCAGTACTGTTTGACAAAGAAGCAAACTTGCAGTATAGAAGTAGCCTCATGGAAGAAAGCACCCTCCTTGCTCTAAAGGAGGAGAAGCCTCAGGGCTGGGTTATACCTGGAGTCATGTAGCAAATCTGCTGCAGGACAAGCATCAGGCTTAGAACTTGGGTATTTTTCCATTTCTGCACTTGTTCCTCTAGAAGGTTTTGCAGCCCTGTGAGACTTGCCTGCCTTCTGTCTTTCAGCAAGTTCCTAATGCTCATAAAGACTGGGTGTGTGCTCTTGGCCTGGTACCTGGAGCTCCGGTTCTGCTCAGTGGCTGCAGAGGAGGCACCCTCAAGCTCTGGAATGTGGACACCTTCGCACCCATTGGGGAGATGAAGGGACACGATAGCCCCATAAATGCAATCTGCACCAACTCTGGCCAGATTTTCACAGCATCAGAGTGAGTTTTTCTTCTCCGTGACTTCCTTTTCTCTAGCTCCTGCTAGAATTCTGCTCATGAAAATGCATTTAAGAGATATTCAGTTGTGTAAGTTGCTTTGTACCAAGCACAGGGAGACCTGGTTCATGCCCCTAAATGCTAATAATCTACTGCAGTAGTCTCCAAAGTGGGGTGTGTGCACCCTGGGGGTTGCAGAAGATGATCCATTGTGGTGTGGGAAGAAAATACTAAAATTTCAGTAGTACATGTATATAACTTATAAATTAATAAATTTACATACAGTGGGAGGTGAATGGTCAGAAATTATTTTAGTGATAAGGGTCTGTATCGGAAATGTTTGGAGACTATTAATTTACAGGATGTCAGGGAGAATTTGGCAATAGTGAGAACTTTACCAGCTGGTCTCTATAGTTTGGCTATTTACTGCTAGGGCTGACTCCTGACCTGTGGGAATTTTCCTAAAAGTCATGGTATGTCAGTTTTTTCCTGCTGGTTTGGTTTGGTTTTTTAAAGTGCTGACATACAGCAGAGGCTTTGCAAGCTGTCCTACTGTGCTTTAAAAACCTTGATTTCACTATTTGCCTCCTCAGTAAATTGAGCAACTTTAGTACCTAAAACCTCAGGGGTCTTGACCAAAAAAAATATCTGATTCTGGAGAAAGCGCAGGAGGCAGCACCAGAGCCCACTTAGCAAAGCAGCCTGAGCACAGGAGCTGTGGAAGCTGCCTCATTCTCTTCTGGTGCCAATTGCAGGAGCTTCTGGCCTTCTGAGCGAAAGCAGGACTTGGAGTTGAAGCAGTACTTCACAACTGGGAGCTGCTACATTTCCACATTTGGTGGCCAGTTTTCATAGTTAAGCATTCACAAATAGGGGTAGAGACACCAAAGCTTGTATCTCTGCCTAAAGATTATTAGTAAGTTTAGAAGATACATGCATGTGAAATTTATTCCTTATTACTTGCGAAAGAAAAGCCCAGCCTTTTGGCACTTGTCACATTGTGGCAGAGGTCTACAGAGTTCAGGGTATTCCTAACAATTTACAATGGCATGAAGGCTCAAGTCAGAAAACCTCTATACAACGGTGAAGTCTGTCCTGACTGCTGCTTCATGGGGGTTTTTGAGGGGGATGTAAAGAATACATGGGTCAATATTTGCTGGTCACGAGAGTCAATGTGTATGAGAAATTCATAACTTCTACTTCTTTTTCATAGGATAAATTGCTATTTAAAAATACAAATTCTTTGTTTTACTTTTTAATTACAGTAGCATTTTGTAACACATTCCATGTGATACTTTACTTTCACATACTTGAAAATTGTGTAAATAGTGTCTGTTGCCAGAAATACAGAATTACAACTTGCCTCTCCTGGGCTTCTGAACACCACCTTATTGGGGAAGGGTTTTAAGAGGTTTGGGGTTTTTTTGTTGTTTGGTTGGTTTTTGTGGGGTTTTGTGGTGTTGTGCGGGTTTTTGTTTGTTTGGGGTTTTTTTAAGACTTTGTTGTCTTGCAGTTCTGTGCTTTTTTACCTTATTACAGACTGACTCCTCTCATGCAAACTGAGCACATTTCAGATCCTGTTTGATTTGACCTATTACAATTTTTCACACTTTTTTTTTTTAGGACAATGTCTTGTCCTATTGAGTCTGTCTCAAATTCTGTAGTACACTGCCTGTTTGTGGTCAGCTGAGTTGCAAATAATTACATGATGGAAGCTCTTCTCTGATGTCAGTCTACTGCTGCCTATTACTTCATTTTTTCAAATACAGCTGGCAGTAATATTAGAGTAGGATTTTTACTTTCCTACTTTTCTTTTTTCTTAATACTTGCCTAAATGGTTCAAGTTAGTAGCCAGTGCTGTGGTAAGTTTAGGGAAACTTAAATGTTGTAAATCTTGCACTTCAAAGACTTCTGGAGATGGAATGACCCTTGCATATCCATTAAGGAAGTCTTATTTCACCAACAAGCCCTTTCTGAATAACACTTGAGCTTTTAATAAAGTGTGCTTCCTGTCGTCCCGTCCCCGTCCCCCCCAGTTTAATTACCTAGCTCTAATACAGCTTTATTTTGTTTTTCAGTGACCGGACTGTGAGGATCTGGAAAGCCCGAAATGTAATAGATGGACAGAGCTCAGATACAGGAGATGCAAGTGAAGATCTTGCCAGTAATTGAAATCACAGGGATAAATAAACATACTGATGATTTTGAGGTGCACTCTATGCAGTTTGCTGCATGCTTATTTAGTAATCAGTGATGACTGGAGTGAACTGAAAAATAAGAGTGAACTCTTCTACTTAGACCTGCTGTCCTTAAAATATGTACTGTATTTAAGAAAAAAATAACCTCTTGGTAACTTGCTTGTGTCTCAATGGTCACATATATGTGTCTACACATTATGGCTGAATTTGTGTGCGTATGTAACACTTGCAGTTAAAGTTAACTGGAAATCAGTCTTCTCTAACGACCATCTCAAAATTATAACGTGGATTATATAACAAAAGTGCTCTGCTGCATTTCACTCACAAGTTTGATCAGCTCTTTTGCATTTTAGGGTAGCAGGGGAATGATGATGTCCCAGTAATAAGCCTTTGATTATGGCAGGAGTTGTTTCAGGATTCTAAAGGTCACTTACACTGTTAGGAAAATGGAGTGAATAAAAGATGGAAAGAAGCTGTTAATGGCACGTCTGTCTGACATGGCTGTATCCTGCTAACAGCGAATGCCATATGATTTGTGTTAATGTTAGCATATAATCCTTTTTGACCAAAGTTGTGCAGCTATGTATACTCTGTGCTCAGGACTAGAACTCGAATGCTCATAAATTGGTATGTTTCATTAGTGTTTTGCCCATATTCTGTAATGACTAGGTGTTCTTAATGTCATAACAGAAATATATCTTAATCTATTTTCTTATGGATTTGTTTTTATCATCTCACATTTTCTTTTTTTAAAGCAAAATGTCTTTCCTTTTATCTAATTTTGTATGCTGCTAAATGTATTTTAAATACTGTTTTGCAAACCTTGGCAGTTACTTTGAGAACTGAACCACGTGTATTTGGAAAAAGCTATGTAAATAGATGGTTGTACAAAGAAAATACCTTATCTTGTGCCTGTATGACTTTTAAAGCTCTCAGAGTGTGGATATTGAGGGAGGATGTATAATTTACCCAACTTTAATATTAATTTGTAAATTCTGCAAATTTTAAAAGTTTATGTAGATTCACACACAGTGTTTGGATGTTGAGGTTTTTTTGGCTGTTCTTTTTTTTCTAGAAAATACCAGTCTGTAAATTATAGCTGTGTAGGTAACACTTAAATAAAGATGTGAATGTGAGCTACTTCTCTTTGCCTTTTTCATAATACTTCCATATTAAAAAAAAATCACTTCCCTTGTGAAGGCCTGAAATAGAAAATGCCCAGTTTTACACAGTGCAGTGGAATAGCTTTCTGAGTAATACAGCCCACAGGTTTTTCTGGTGTTCTTGTTGGCCATTATTTATGTTTTGCTAGTACTTAGGAACCCTAGTAGGACTCCTTCATACTAAGTACAGTACAGACTCAAAATGAAGCAGATGGCTCCTGTTCCTAAGAGATGTCAGCTCTTACCTTATTACATATGGGCTGTCAAACAAAGAAAAGAAATGGAACTGCATACTGCTTGCCATTTGAGGTCACTGATTTAGTCCAAGTTTTGTCAGAAAGGAGTAATGATACATATTGTTAAGAAACTATGCATAGGTTTGTTAGAATAAACAGCAGCAATAGTATTTATCTCTCATGCTTTTTGACTGTTCAGGGGTGTACACGCACCATGTCACAACTCTGAGCAAAACTCCCAGTGAAGAGTAGATTTATGCGCAAGACTCATGAGAGGCTTTGTGTGCCTGGTGGAGGGTCCCTGTTCCGCCTGGCCCAGTGGGTAAAGGCCACCCGCTGTGCCCAGGTGCACAAACGATGCCAGCATCAGTCCTTCCAAACCTAGGAGATACCAGCTGTCAGGCTGCTCTGCTCGAATGGACCATATGGTGAGGGGCTGGCGAGGCAGCAGTCTGAATTGCAGATGCTTCTCTTTGGTGATGCTTGACAGCACAGATGTTCTGTTTTACAGAGCTATCTCCTGATAGGCACTGATATAACTGAAAATAATGTGTGACTAGAAAGATTATTTTTTTTAAGAACTTTTTTTTCCTCCAGGAAGATATTCCACCTAAACTAGATCTTACCATAGCTTTATTCTGAAAGTTCTTGCCATCAAGTAATTGGAAGAAAATTGTCATTTTGTAAAGGTCACAGTATCACTGTCTTGTTTTAATGGAGAAATCTTCAACTGTTTTTCTCCAAACTTTTCTTTTGTGATATAAAACTACATATGTGACAAAAGATAATATAAAATCAGGAAAAAGGTAAGCGCTGGACTCCCATTGTCTGAAGATGTTTGTTTAAAAAAGTGAAGGTGGTCTCTGAAAAAGTATTTTTCTAAGAATTTTAAGTTACAGAAAAATCACATTCTCAAGTTAGAATTCAGAAGCTGAGCAAAGTTTGTAGACAAATTAGTAACTGTATCTCATCTTATCTGCTTAGATATGTTCTTAAATACAGGCAAGGTCATGTGTTATAATTAATTTCATGTAAGATATGAATGCTGAGAAAATATTTGCAGTGTTTCTTGTTCCAATATGTAACAACTGCTTATTGCGTCCCTGCCTTGTATAAGAGGCTCCACGCTGCCTGCCGAAATCTGTCTTTGACCACGGAGAGGATGAGGAGCCTGTGTTTCCTGGCTGCTGTGCTAGCAGGTAAGTCTGTGGCACTTGTAGTTTGTCATAGGCTTCAAAAGCAAGATACAAATGTGATAACAACAGAAGAGCTCTTAGGGGAGGTGATCTTTTTACAGGGAAAAGGAGAGAGCAGGCATAGCTTTAACTCCACGTGGGTGACTGTGGGAAGACGGCAGGGCTGGCTAGTATAGAAATACATCCCAATACGTGCACTAGCATGGGCACACTGGAGGCAATGGGACCAGTCAGCTGCTGAAAGCTACCCTGTGCTTTGCTAGTTTGTTTGCTTTGATTCTACCCCAGTATACCAGAGGTTAATTTGGTCCAGAGTCGGATAAACAGAGAGTACATCTTATTATGTTACTAAATAAAGAAAAGGGAACCTCTGCAGCAAAAGCCTTTGAAAAATATGGATGACCCAAGACTAATACTATTAAATTAAAAAGCATGTGGTAATACTTTAATTCAATGCTTAGGCCTTATTACAGCATTTTCTAACCTAATTTCACAAAATTTAAGTAAAGATTTTAAAAAATCAGTAGGGATACTTTTTCACATACATCTTTCAACCTTTAGCTTCTGTTCCCATGGAAATTATCGTGGAAAAGCAGCAAATAGCCATAGTTATTGCTATATTCAACTGCTTGCTTGCATTCCATCTTCTGGGTTTGTTTACAGACATGGGCCAGAAACGCAGTGAAAATGATGCAGAGATTTTAAAACTAAAATGTTTTTTAAAAGTTGGGAAGGGAAATTGCGTCTTCCCACTTGCTACTGTCCCATTTGTACTGTAATGGAAACAAATCCAGGAAGAAGGGAGGAATGAAGCTACAGTCCTCTTTAGCTGCTTGTACCTGCATGCCCTTGTTTCCAAAATTTATCTGGAAGTCTAAGCTTCTTATCTTTATCAGGGACACAGTATGAAAAGGCAAGGCTTTACTTGTCCAGCCCAGTCTTTAGTGTTCCATTAGAGCATTCATGAATCCTCCCCAATTTCTGCTCAAAGAAGAAATAGTAGAGAGATTGCAGAGGGATGTTCCTATTCTTATTATTCTTTGGATGAAAAAGGGAATCAGAATTTAGGGCTTTCCTGTGTGACAGATCCCAGAAGGTGGATGCCGGAGGGAAAGCAGCCAGCCTGTGGGGCATGACTGCTCACCCCAGACAATGAAGGTGGAAGTCAAGCCTGCCTGTGGCAGCTGGCGAAGGTTAATGGGGTTTTGCCTGTTAATACCTGCCTCTAGAAGGGGATATGAGGCTGTGGTGGGGACGAGCAAGCTCTGCTGCACCTCCCGAGAGCGTCAGACCTAAGCATCAGATGCTCCAACATGAAAGGGGAGAATGAGAGTTTTCTCAAAAGACAAATATAGATGGCACTCAGCTCTCGCTTTTCTGCATCCCCATGCCCTACTTGGAAATTAACTCTGGCATCGCAGCATGACAGCATTTTCTAGTGAATCTACAGTTTTATCCTGTAAATTTTCTCAGTATATATAATTATTGCTTATGCACATCTGCTTGTAAAGTTCTTTATTTGGAGAAGCCCAGACTGCATCAGCAATCATGTTTTAAGCTTTCAAGTACACAACAGTCCACATAAAGTTTAAAGCAGAGGTATTAGTCATTTTATGGAAAAGAGCAATTATCTTTCCAGTAGATTTAATCTTTGAATATTACTGTAATGGCTAAAATGATAGAAGTTAACTTCAAAATAAGTATGGTGCCTGCAGTAGGGCTGCTCTCTTTAAGAATATTTGATAATGAAGCATCTTGTTGGCACAGCAGAGAGCCAGCTTTGCTGTCCCCCTGCTCTCAGGAGGCTTGCTCTGTGTGGGGGAACTTCAGGGCCTGCAGCTGAAAAAAGGAAAAGGTTTAGGTTTTGTCAGGATGGGTCAGTGAATGTCTAATTGGTGTCTGCTTTTACTGCTGATACCTGCCCTTAACTCATAACCATACCTGTATTAACACAAACTACTACTACTGCACGTATAGAAATGAAACCCAGTAAAAACATATAATCAGTATTTTTATATTTATCTATATTGTACAGATACATACTGATTTCATATATTTGTCTCTCTCTATATATATATGTATATACAGATAGCCTCAGTGTATAACAGGAAAGACCAGAAGTATGCAGAAAAGGTAGCATTTTAATGTCAGTAACAGTTTTAGTCCTTACGAAATGACACCTCCTGTTCAGCTAGCCTGAAGTGCTGCTCTCGTGCCTCACCAGCCCTTTCATTAGCCTGCTATTTTACTTCCATGAGCACTTCAAGCATGCCATGCTTCAGCTGAACAATACAGACCCCTGGCCTCGGCTTGTAAAAGACACCAGTTGCTCTTGTCTCGGTCACGAACAGGCATTGGCCACGAACAGGCGTGCTGGTCTGCTGCCATCTTAGTCAAAAATCACGCATGTTAGTGCCAAAATGGGGAAGAACACAGCCTAAAACGAAAACAATGCAAACTTCTTTAGTTTTTTTTGTTTGTTTTTTTTTCCCCCGATGTGTTTCTCTGCTGCTCTGACTGTTTTTTCCCCTTCTCCAGCCCTGGGCGGCTGCCTGGGCTCAGACCAGTGCCCCGGGGATGTGGCGGTGCAGAAGCGCGTCGACTGCCACCCCCAGCCTGGTGCTTCCCAGGAGGTCTGTGAGGCACGGGGCTGCACCTGGTGCGCCACCGATGTGGCCAACGCTCCCTGGTGCTTCTTCCCTGAGGACAGTCCCTATGGCTACTCCCTAGACGGGAGCACTGAGACGACAGCCAAAGGCTGGAAGTAAGTATGCGTGGCTCCTTCAACTGTGACTCCTCTGGCAGTGCAGGCCAGCACTGCACAGGAGCCACCATTGCTGCCCCAGAGGCAGCTCACCTGAAACACTCCCTAAGCCCCTTTGCTATTGTGTGCTCAGCTTGTGTCAAGGAGGATGCTGGATGTATTTGCCTGTGTGTAAGCCATGCAAATTTGGGTCCTTGTGCTCACACTGTCCTGCCAGTGAAGAAACCAGGCACTGGTAGGGGGTGGTCCCTCCCACCCTGGGAGCTGTGTCCCAGGAGACCACGAGGGCTTCCTGCTTCAGGAGCGCGTATTTTAGTCACTAACAGCAAGGAGCGCCTAAGCTAACCTCAGAGAATGTTTCTCTCAATGAATCAATGATTTTTTTTAAAGCGCTGAGGTAAAATACCTGAGTTGTTCCCTCTGCCATGCCAGGGTGCTCGCAGGCAGCGAGCAGTGGCAGTGGGCAGCAGCACGTGTTTTCACTGCAGGGTAACGCTGAACAAGCGCCAGGCCTTGTCCCTCTTCGGAAATGATATTTCTCCTGTCGTCTTGGAAGTGGAGTTCCAGACAAAGGACAGACTCCGGTTCAGGGTGAGTATTTTGGAAGGAAAAAAATCATTTAAACAAAGCAACACACCCCAACGAATGAGCTGACCTGCTGGGTCTGCCCTTGCCTTGCTTTAGCTCTACGACCCGAACAAGAAGCGGTTTGAAGTCCCACTCAAGATTGACTCCCCGGGGGTTACTGCCGATGAGGCCAACTATGACGTTGAGTTTGTG